TCACTGGGTCTGGCGTCATGCCATTTAGGACTATCTTTATGATGGAAAACCTTACTTGGCACTCTTTGTAAAAGATTATGGTAATTTTCTTTGTGTCACATCACACAGCACATGGGAGCATATGATCTGGCTAAGAAAAAGAGTAAATGGTTCTTTCTGCATTTATTGATCTGTTGATTGGTGACATGAGTAACATACAAAACACAGCTGAAAATGCTCATACACTGAGAATAACTACTAAATAAGGCTTCCAAAAATTTTAGTGACATAAGGACATCAAAGATCGGGTTTAGTTTTGCCCAAGATGTTCTGCAATTTGTATTAACTCAAAATTGATAGCCCGCAATGGGAATAGTAATGGTGTAACAATCATAACTCCACTATTAAACACAGTAAATGTAGCTGAATTGTTAAAGACACAAGCCTCAAATCAAGTTTCCTATTGAACTTGACAAAACAAGTGTGGGAATATTTTAGTGATCCCTGCTCAGAAACATACAGGATTTTTCCATGGGAGAATGCTTTCAAGAATTAGATCTCACAGGTGAATTATAAAAAATGCCAAGTCTTGTGTGTTTAAAGACACAGAGCAACAATTAATACAGGTGTCCATGTTCCAGCAAAACTCCACATAGTAGGCTGAGACTTCCATTTGGGACTTAAACTGTTTTTGCTTTTTTGTTTGTTTAAGTTAAGTGCTGTTCTCCCCAGAGCTATTGCTTTGAACACTAAACAAGGGAACAGAGCTAGCCTTCTATAACTTCCATAAAAATGACTAAAAACACGTGCAAAAGACCCTGTGAACAAGAAAAGGGGCAATGCAGTTGCAAAATAAATAAAATCAAGCAAGACCAGTTTGAATTTGCTACTGGACAGTCTCTGCTCTGGAGTTAGAGCAGTGGTCCCCAAACTGTGGGGCACATCCCCCTAAAGGGGCGTGGACAAAAGTTTGGGGGAGTGTGTGGCGGGGCCTAGGCCAGCCCCCATGGGGGCACTGAGGGAACACCACCCAGCTCCCTCCACTCCATCCCCTGCTCTGCCCCCAGCCCAGCTCCATCCCGAGCTGCAACTCCACTCTGCAGCCTAGGGTGACCAGGTGTCTGGTTTTCAACTGGAACACCCGGTTGAAAAGGGAACCACAACCAATGGAAGCTGCAGGGGCAGTGCCTGCAGGCAACAGCAGTGCCCAGAACCGCCTGCACACCTCCACCTAAGAACTGGACCTGCTGGCTTCTTCCAGGGCACAGTGTGGAATCAGGACAGGCAGGAAGCCTGCCTTAGCCACCCGCCCCCACCCACTGTGCCTCTGACCAGGAGCCACCTAAGGTAAGACCCAACCCCCTGTCCCAGTCCTGAACCCCCCCCCAAACCTGGAGCCCCCGCCTGCATCCCAAACCCCGCATCCCTGACCCCACCCCAGAACCTGCACCCCCAGATAGTGCCCTGACCCCACCTGCCCCAGCCCAGAGCCCTCTCCCACACTCTGAACCCCTCTGCCCCACCTCCCAACCTGGAGCCTGCTCCTGCACCCCAAGCCCCTCATCCCTGGCCCCACCCCAGAGCCTGCATCCCCAGCCGAAGCCCTCACTCCTTCCCACACCCCAACCCTCTGCCCCAGCCTGGCACCCCCTCCCACACCGTGAACCCCTCATTTCTGGCCCCACCCTGGAGCCCACACCTCCCGTTAGAGCCCTCACCCCCTCCCCACCCCAACCCCCCCATCCAAGCCCAGTGAAAGCAAGTGAGGGTGGGGGAGAGCGAGCCACAGAGGGAGGGGGGCCATAGTGAGCGGGGGCCAGGGCCTCGGGGAAGGGGTGGGACTAGGGTGTTCAGTTTTGTGGGATTACGAAGTTGGCAACCCTAACTCTGCCCTCTGCCCTGCCCCCAGCCCAGCTCTGTCCTCATTCCCTTTCTGCCCCCAGGCCAGCTCTACTTCTAGCCCCAGCTCCTCCCCCATCCCCAGCTCTGCCCCCAGCCCAAACTCCTCTGCTGAGTCAACTGTGCTGTAGTGGAGGGAGGGGCACAGACAGATTCCGTTATTGGTAAGAAGGGGGGCGTGACAGAAAAAGTTTGGGCACCACTGGTTAGAAGTGCACTGACAGCTAGAAGCTTTGCTGAGACTTAATGTAGATCTTAGCAAACTGTCACTTAAAAGAAAACGTTCAATTATTCTGATAGCTTCTAACTTTTTATTTATTTAGAGCTTTTACTTGCTTGTGATACTCGCCGTACCCTCTCAGAAGTTTGAAAATATTTTCCCTTTAGAGTGTTAGTAGTCATCCAATCGGTGTGTGATGGGGTCTGTGGGCAGGGTAGCCACAGATGCATCTCCAGAATGCTGGCCATTCGGGTATTTCTGGGAACAGCGTGGGCCCATCCCCGCCTGTATCGCCCCACTCCCACTGGCATGAGATTGCACCACATAGTGCACGTAAGGTTATGCCACATGATGATATTTTAGCGAGTGCCGCCCCCCACCCCCCGGTGTGACCTCGCATGCCCGGTGCACATAAGGTCACCCAGCGCAGGCGGAGTGGCACACTCTTGCTATTGGACAAAACCACATCCAGTTTTGTCTCAGTACTGGATGCAAAAGTCTCTAGCTTAAGTTAAGTGGGTGCTTTAAGAGCTCAAGCTAGACAACCTGGCAGGAGGAGGGGTGGTGGCTGGAGCTCACGTGATGCTGATGCTCAAACTAATAATGCAGTGGTGATATACAACGGTTAATCAACGGCTAATCCAATCATTCTGTGTAACTCCAGAGTTGTTTTGCATGGTGGTAGCTCTCACTCAAGTTAGGCTAGCTTGAGTAATTTCAGTGTGCTAACTCAAGCTAGCTGTTGCAGTGAAGACAGGCCCTAGCCCCCTTTCTGGAAATGCTGTGCGCGCACCCAGAAGCAACGCAAACACCTTTTGAACTGCCAGTTGTAGGCCTGCAGGCTTTTTTAGACATTTTTGACGTACACGACATGGCTCCTGGTCACACAGTGAGTCAGTGGCAAAACCTTCAACCCTTTAGAAAGGTGTAAAATTACTCATGTCAAGCAATTTTCTATAAAGAACAAAACAAACACAGCATTGTTTCCAGATAACCTCACCCTTCCCTCCCTAGGGATTACACATTGCTTGTGAGTGTGTGTTGAAGAAAGAACAAACAAACAATCATTAGCAATATTGTTTCTCAGTGTATTTTTCAACTGAATGGAGGGATTTAGTATAATTATGGCAAATGTACTGACACAATTGGCAATTTTCTCTCAGGAGACCAGCAACATTTTAATATTTGATGTGTCATAATAACTGAGGTAAGTCTGCAGAACTGTCTCAGTGATGCCAACTCCCACTATTGTATTGCAAGTCTCACAATATGTTTCTTAAAGCCCCAGCTCTGGAGTTAAGCGATTACATGAGAATCTCATTTTCATTTATTTTTTTAGAAGTAAGTTTCTGGTACTGATGCTTGCAGAGATAATGTGAACCGAGTGAAGCCCAGTGACTCAGAAACAAGAAATCTCATTATTTTCAAGCCAACTTCAAGACTTGTGACTCCTGGGTGTTGGCAATATTGCTCTTTAGAGAACTTTGCAGAAAGCTTGTCTTTGTTATGGCTGGCTGAAATCGGTGCTATATTCCCCTAGCCCATGAGCTTCCAATCAGTAGCGGAGGAGGAGACTGTGACAGGAGAGAGACCTAGCTGAAGCCTTACCTGACCACACAGACCCAAATCTCAGCACTTGAGGTTTTTCCCTAAAATAGGAAGATCCACTAACCTCCAGACCCCTTCTTTTGGCCAATGCCAACAGTGGGGTTATCAGGCTCTGTAGGAAGTTAGGACCCCATCCCCACATCCTCAGCTACAGAAGTTGGCAGAAAGAAGGAAATGGAGAAGATCCCCAGCCAAAATGAAAATAAACATCAAAAAGGTAATTGGTATTTCATGGTGCATAACACCCAACTCACAATGATTACTGAAACTTGTCTAACACTGGACAGTAAGCAGAGTTACCACACATTTTAATATTATGATGATTTAAAATGGCTGAGAACATTAGTGGAACTCCATTCATATTTCAACACTGATAAATCATTTTGGACCAGGTCCACAAGTTGGGCTTACAGCCCCTTTGTGCCACTTGAGTGACTCAAAGGAGCCACAACCCAGGCACAAATGCCCAGCTGAGAACACCCCTGTTGGGCCCTGCCCTTTCATGCCTCCTCCCCTGGTGTAGGGGACAGGGAGAGGGGGCACCATTGGCACAACTTAAAGCAGCTTTAAATTGCATTCAGGCTGGGCCTTGCTCTGAGAATCAGAGATCTAGAACCCAAACTCCCACCATCCCTCCCTGCACTGATCTGCTGTCAGCCCGAAAGAGGATCTAGCCTTCAGAATTCATACTGTGGTGTTAATCTACCATGCTATCTACCCTTTGTCATTATCATTGGAAAGCACTGAGGCAGAATTGAGAAAAGCAATAATATATCTATATGACTCCACTAAGGAAAAGGTGATTTACTGCAAGACAATCTTTAAATGAGACTCATTACTCAGAGGAAACACAGTGGAAGAAATATTTTTCCAAATACAAGCGTAGATGAAATGTAGTCAGAGTCGTCATTCAAAGTATTACAACTTGCCAACAAGCAAAACCACAGTAAATGGCTAATAAAAATGAATCTTTGTAAAGAGTAAAAAAAAAAAATTACATTATTGTATAGAGTAGTTATTTCTCAGACAATACTGTCAATTAATAGTGAAGTTTTACTTCCTGTCAGTTAAAAAGAACAAGAATTCTTCAAGCTAAAGAATGCAGACATACATCGTCTGTGAGAATCATAAAAAGATCAAATGTAATATTTTCTTTCAACCCAGACAACTGCCTTGAGATTTTCCATTCAGACAGCCTTGAAAACTGCCTCCAGCATTTGACAATTACTTCTGACAAATACCATTTGGCACTGAGTGATGTTTTAAGTGAAATAAAACAGTGAAGAAAACTGTACATGATGAAAGGATTTTTTTTTATTCTTAAGAAGTGACTGTAAGTTATATATTCACAAGATAAAGTTTATACTTCCTGTCAGTGACAAATTCCATGTGATATTCAGGGCTGAGGTAAAGTTTGTTTGACAGTAATAGGAAAGGAAGACAAAACTCATTCTCATGTCTTTTAAAGCAGCCAGAGTTTTCTTTTTTAGTTATAAACAAAGGGAGATCTGCAAATACCTCTGTTCTACATCATTCTTTACAATGTAAGTGGTCTAATGGAGAAAATTATTCCTTAAAATTAAAATGGTCAAAATGCATGTAGCATGTACAGAGGATCTTTCTCTCACAGACTCTTGATAGTCATCCAAGTTGTAACCTGCAACTGGTAACAACTATAGAATATCGGCATTTGTTTTAAAATGTTTGTCACTCATGGGGACCCTTAAGGATAGGTTAAAAGTATTCAAGGAGCATAAACTGATGGGAAGTGGGTGTCACACTGTCTGGAGTGGCTCACGACCATGAGTGCCTGCCTCAGGACAGACTGACTGTGTTCTACAATTAGGTTTCACCAACCCAGTAACAAATGTGAACTCCTGGATCACTGTAACAGTCTTACAATGGAGTCATAGACAGTACCCTTAGACTCTCCAGTATATCTTGCCACCCAGGCAAGCTGGCCTTAATGATAAATGGTCACTTACACCAAAAAATCACAAAATATTCAGGTTGTTTCCAGTCCCAAGAGACTAGTCACTAACCCCAGATCAGTTGGTACCCTAGATCTTACACCACAGACAATGCCTGTAGCCAATCCTGTAATAAACTATGTATTAACTAGGAAAAAGAAACAAGAGAGTTAAATACAGGTTAAAGCAAGCAAATATATACACACAAATGAGTTACCCTTTATGGTTCCTAAAGATGACAGAGATGTGATGATCTGTCAATTCAAGAGGTCTTTCAGGGCAGTCCCAGAGGATAAACCCTGGGGATCTTGGCCTCAGTTTAGCATTTCTGTCCCTGTGAGATGTTCAAACAGCAGAGATGGAAAATTTGTTTGTATCTTTGTTTTATTTCCTAGATTCAGCCTCCAAGTCCATAGGACAAGCTTCCTTGCACGTCATTTCCAAGATGCAACAGGGCCATTCGCCAATCCTTTGTATTGCGACATTCCTTGATGGTCCATCTGATTTTGATAGTTTTTCTGGATGGCTGGGGAGAAACACTCTTCCCATCTGAGTTCACAAGTTTAGAGCAAACATTTTCAAAGTTATAAATCAAAAGTTACATATTTCTTTATAGCATGGAATACAAGCATTACAAATACGATTAATGCATGCAGCACAAATAGACACTCTATAAGAGTCTGATCACTAAATACATTCTTGTAAGACTAATACCTATTTTGAGCAAAACTAACACAAAAGTAAACAGGTCTGGTCTCCAGCTATGAGTTTGTCAGTTCTTAGCTAATGCCTGCAGCCTTGGCGAGAGCTGGCACCTGGCCTGCTAGTGTCACAGTGGGTTTTCAGCATTTTGATTTTAACAATGATTAAAACAGCCAGGTATTAGAACTTTCTTTGGCATTTTGCAGACCAAAAGTTGCAGTGTTTGTGGCACTGCACTTTTCTCTATATCTAATGATACGGCTACACTTTGAGCTGGAGGTATAATTCCCAATTTGAGGAGACATACTTGTGCTAGCTCTGATTGAGGTAGTGCACTAAAAATGGAAAGTAACTGCAGGTGACATGAGGCTGGCAGCCCCAAGTATGTACATGTCCAATCAGTGACAATGGAGCTACATCAGTGTAAATAAGAGGAGAATTCAGGACCCGAATCTGTGAAAAAGAAGAGTGGACAGTACTCAGTTACACCAGGGCAACCTCACTAAGGGCATGTCTATACTACAAAATTATGGCAACCTCAGTCAGGTCGGCATACAGCCACTGCAATAATTAGATCACTTTCACGTGTCCACACTACACTTCTTGTGTCAGCAGTGCACATCCTAACTAGGAGTGCTTGTCCCAATTATATTGTCAGTGTAGGGCATTCTGGGATGCCTTCTGAAAGTCAATGTAAGCAACAGAGTCTACACTGACATTGTGTTGACCTAACTACATCGACATTGACTCTATGCCTCTCATGGAGGTGGAGTTATTATCATAGCAGGGCAGTTATGTTGGCAGGAGTGAAATGTTAGTATAGACACAGAATTAGGTCAACTTTTGCTGCACTGTGTTGAGCGAATTCTGTAGCATAGACTAGACCTCAGTTAATGGGATTGAACCAGAATAGCATCATACCAGAATTCACCCCAGGTCTGTGTCCGTGTCTTGGACTGGAGTTTCAGACATGCTCTAAATTTGGGGAGGCTACTACAAAAAAGATAGATAAAACATAAAAAGATGGAAGCATGACGAATAAGAGATAATGTTCCTTCAAAACATTTTGCTTCTGTTGTGTCCTAAATGCAGAGGACTAAAATGACAAGGTGGTTGAGGTGACTTCTATTGGTGGAAGAGACAAGCTTCTTCTGTGTACCTCGCACCCATGTTTCTTAGTATCCTGGAACCAAAATTGAAGCAGACTAGAATATAAGCTTTGTAACTTGATCCTAACAGCAACTAAACAAATGGATATTTTTCTTGACTATGGAAATCAAGTAACAGCCCACTGAAAAAATGATACTCTCCCCCTAATATTAAAATATAAAATACAGCAAATATAATTATTTCTTGATAGAATGTAGTTTCCTCTCTTTCTGCAGTACATTTGCATCATCTAGTGGACATCTACAGAAATTACACTAATTTCATGCAGTTTGATCAGTATTGTGTTTTTGAACACCTTTGTGTTTGTTCTGAACTTAGCACATTGTGTGGTTAGCAGAAACAATAAATGAGAAACTGTTTCACATTAATTCTTTGCTTACTGGTATATTATGACTAATGGCAAAGTAGAAACCTCTGGGCATTCCAGTCAAAATGAGAATGTTCTCTAATTCTGTGTCCTGTGCTGATTGGCTGTTCACTCTAACCCTCCCCTTCCCCTCTGCAGGTCTCTCCACCTCAGCCTCTCAACACCTGCCCCTTCTACTCTCTCCTTCCCTTCTTTCCATTTAGCTGATCCCCTCCAAAGTAAATCCACCAACCTGTCTCCCTCCAAAAACTTATGGAAATAACTAACATATGCCATTTGCTGCCATCACACTGTTCACTCTGCTTGTGTGTTCTACCTCTTCCCCCACCATGACTATGTTGTCTATTTGCACAGTATTGCCTCAGTTTCCTTGTATTACCTCATCTGCTTGTATCTAGCTGTCAGCTCATGTTCTATATGCAGATTGTAAGGTCCTTGGGGTAGGGACTGTCTCTTTGTTCTGTGTGTGCAGCATCTAGCACAATGGGGTCCTGGTCTGTGACTGGGGCTCCTAGGCGTTATGGCAATATATAATATAAATGAATAATAACAAGACAGAGCTTCATTGCAGTGTTTTAGACATCCTAAAGAATATTAAAATATAAAACTCATGAGAATTATGTGATTTCTTTCCATTTCAGTGTGTGAATTAACATCGTATGAGTTTGGGTTTTAGATATAACTAAAACCAGTCACGAATGCCAAGATTCTCTTGGTTTCATGTTGAAATGATGAAACACTATGAATTCCACATGATTTTGCTGCAAAAATGAACACAAGGGTAGGTTTGCAAAGTGTTTAGCAAACTTAGTCCAGGTGTACTGTATAATTAAACAAACCAGGCAGCTGGTGCAGCAAACCTTTCCCAGCATTCTGTTTATCATCTTCATCTATAATTATAGATGCACTAAGTGCCTGCAACCACTTCAGATTAATTCCCAAGGACCGTCTTCAAAAAGATTTTATATTTGCAGGGAGCGTTCAACCTCAGAGGGGCAATGTATCCTTCACTTAAAGATTTCTTCCTTAGGGAGTGTCATTTTTTAAACATTTTCATCGTGTACGTAAAGCTTTAATTAACAGGGCTTGAGAGCTGATGCTATCTTATCTTGTTCTGAACAGTTAGATCTCAAAACATTAAGAAATTATGAATGATCTCTACCCTATCGCTAAAGAAATGTGAAAACCAGAAGCCACTCGCCAGAAGAGATCAAAGAAAATCCACAGGATGTTCACTTTAAAGTGAGTTTCTATTCTAAGTGACTCAGGGAAGATAGCATTGTAGGGTGCTATGTTTATAATTTTTCAGTGACTCCAGATTTCATTTGTTCAGCTCTCATACACACACACACACACACAAACAAAAAAACCCACCTTTCCCCCGCTAAATGCCAGCAGCGCACCTTAGGATCTGAGAGTCAAGCTGAGTTATTTCTTGCCTCAAGTATTGTCACCAGCCATGAAAATTTTGCTCCTGCTGCTGTTACACCTATGTAGTCCTATTGTCTTCTCTGTAGTTGCACAAGTATAACTGAAGGCAGAATGTAGCTCTGTATTTGGGACTCTAACAGTTCTGCTGCTGATGTGCAAGTCAGAACTGAATATAGCTTGCTTCCCCCAAATCTAAGGTGGTGCTGCATCACTGACAGGAGTAAAATGTAGTAAAAACCATAGTGGTGGTACTGAAGTTTGCAGATCTGCCTTGGACACCCACAGGGAGTAGATCTGTGGAATGAATGAGAATGGGCTATTTTTACAGTGTCTCTTTTCATAATAGAGCTACGTTTAAATGACAGACCGATTAAACTCTTTGAGCCAAATGTTAACTAACAGCAAGTTACTAAAACTAAGCTACTAAGATAACAAGAGTCCTTTTGAGCTTCTAGAATGAGAGCTAGAGAAGCTAAGAATGTACAAAAGTGGTTAGGTAAAACATCTTAGGATGCCTTAGCTCAGATGTATTTTACACCCTGATTCAGCAAACCACTTAAGCCCCATTGAAGTCTTACACATGTGCCTAAGGCTGCAATTCAGCAAAGTTGTGACTTCATACTTAAGGGTGGGGCAGGATTTTGCCTTTGACGTTAGTCTACTAATGTCAAACTGTAGTGTATTCCTGCAAGTCCAAGGCCACCTAGCATACCTAGAGAAATGGAAATAGCTCTAAGCAATCTCCCCCCCCCCAAAATCTTAATTATAGCCCCATATCACCTCAAACTAATTTCTAAACCCCTCTCTTTCTAACTCTGTAAAACACTGCTATTAACTATTCAACATACGCAAGGCCAGATCTTCAGCTGGTATACATTGGCCTAGTTCCATTAACTACACAGAAATATGCAGATTGATAGCAACTCAGGGTCACACCTACGTTCTCTAGGGATAATTTTATTAAATGAAACTAAGCGGAAAATCAGTTCCTGGCATTAGTCACAGCTAACGGCCTGAAGTCCTCAGGCCAGCTCCTCAGCACCGAAGTTCTCTTTGAACTGCCTCAGTGCTACAAAAAGGATCCACATGAGCTACTGAGAATTCCCCTGACCTAGGAGAATTTTCAGCTGGAGCAGAGTTAGCATAGCCAGCTTCACACCACCCCTTCTCAACATTCCGGGGACAGCGGTCACGTCAGAGCAGGCAAAAGCATGGCTGGAACTCGCAACACTCTGGCCCTTCCCCAGCTGCTGCAAGGGCCCCTAGGACATGTTACACGATGGTACAACTGAGAGTGTAAAATGCTGGGAGTGATTTGTAGAGACTCTTGCCACCACTTCAAAGAGATTAAGTTATTTTAGAAGTGTTTAATAGATGGGCATTGCGGATGTAACTAAAATGTATGTATGTATGTTCGTTCAGTTTTTTATTACCTTATTATTTTTATTACCGTAACATATAGGAGCCCTAGACATGGCCCAGGCTCCTATTAGGTATGCTAGGAGCTGTTCAAACACACAAAAATACAGCCTTATGTTATTTTTGTATACTATAGTTCATTTTACGTATGACTAACATTATAGTAAGACTTCCTTACAAGATGCAGTGTGAGGCCATGAGCTGCTGTAACATAGCAAGCAAAGAGCAATTGGGTACCTTAAAAAGAGCAATAGAGTAGCAATCAGCTCCCTTCCCAGAGTAGTCGTATCTTCTATTCACATCATCTAGGCTTTTCATCCCATTTCAGTAATTATCTGACAAAAATAAAATTCTCTCTCCACCCATCTTTCCAAATGCCCAAGTGAACAGAAGAGTCTTGCAGCATGATGGAAAGATTAATAAATTCAGGCATTGGTGGACCAAGGGTGGGTAGGGGGAAATTACAGAGGAGAGAGACCTGCTATGAGAAAGTCCTCCTGCTTAAAACGAAAGAACTCTAGCTCCGGTACCTCCGCTGATCTGAACTGTGGCAGTGTAACACTTAAGGTATGTCTACATGCTGCCATAAATGTAGAGACACCGCACGCCCAGCTAGCACACATATAAACAGCAGTGTAAATGAGGAGGAACTGCTTAGGTGAGCAGAGTATCCTACACACTTGAACCACGTGGTATATACACCCAGCACAGGCTCTCTACACACCCACATCTATGCTTCTATTATTAACAGTTTCACGTCCCACTGCCCGAGCCTTTTCCCTCCACAGTGAGAGGCTCCGGCACCAAGGAGTCAATGATCTGGAAGTAAATAAATATAAAAAAAAATCACTGCTGATAAAATTTGCACATGACACAAAAAGACTGGCATAATAATGAGGACAGGGCAGTCATTCAAAGTGATCTGGATTGCTTGGTAAAGCTGGCCCCATTCAGACAAAATGCATTTTAATCTAGACAAATACAAAGTTACTAGTAGGAATAGGGGGAGGATATTACCTCTGTACACAGCATTAGTGAAACCGATACTAGAATTCTGCCCCTACAGTCCTAGTATCCAAAATTTAAAAACAATGTAGAAAATTTGGAGAGGGGTGCAGAAAAGAGCTCCCTAAAATGATTCAAGGGCTGGAGAAAATGCCTCACAATGAGATACTTATAGAGCTCAATATCAAAAACATTGAGAGGTGACTGGATTACAGCACACAAGTTCTTTCCTGGGGAGAAAAGACTGGGTACTAAAAGGGTCTTTAAACTAGAAGAGAAAGGCAGAGCAAGAACCAATGGCTTGAAGCAGAAGCCAGACAAATTCAAACTGGAAATAAGGCACAAATCTCTAGCAGTGACGGTGGTTAACCACTGGAACCATGAAAAGTGGTGGATTCTCCATCTTTACTGATTTCAAGTCAAGACTGGATGCCAAAGTGGAAGATAGGCTTTAGTCAAACAAGTTATTAGGCTCAATACAGGGGTAACTGGGTGAAATGTAGGGGCTTATGATATACAGTAGGTCAGACTAGATACTCTAAGTGTCCCTTTTTGCCTCTAACTCTGTAAGTCAGCCAGCTCCCCAGCTGTACAGGCCCTGTGCACATGACAGTTTTCAACCAACTTTGTAGCCATTTATCTATGTCCTTATACCAAGCCCATAGCCATGGAACCTAAGATATCCCCTTTCCTTCCCTCTTCAAGCTTTGCCCATCACCTGCACATATCTCCCTTGACCAAGACTTTATCCCACATTAGCTTTTCCAAAGCTACCAGGGTATTAGTAAATGGATGACATGCAGCAGATCCATACTAGAAAACACAAAAGTCAGAGACCAAGGGCCTGCAGGAAAGCACACAAAAAAGTAGTAAGATACAAGATCATTCACACAGGTATGGTCCTAATGTCAATACTTACCCTAACCCTCCAACAATTATGATGTCCAGCCAGATTGATCAGGAAAGGCAAAAAGGGGACAGGCGAAGGAAGTTTCTCCATGTGACAATCAGGACTGGTGGAAAGTATCAGAGTGGATTTCCTGAATAGCCAACATGCAAACTGTTACAACACCACAGCTCAAAATAACTCAAGCACATCTGTTTGTTGTTCAGAGGAGGAGCAATAATCACATAGATTAGCAACAATCTGGAGGAGATCTTTAAAATGGAGGAGGGAAATCCAAACTTCTGCATGATGGCCACCACCCGAGCCTCCAGCATCAGTGTACTAAACATGCATTTGGGTGGGCACTGGATGATTGTTTTTCAGTCATTCTGGGGCTGACCTGGCGGGGATGATTATATAAGGTCTGGAGCATAGGCCAAGTCCAGGGACCATAAATGAGATAGAAAAGGGTCAGCAGAGGATGACGCTGGCACACAAATAACATAGGGTGAGGCAAGTAGCTCTGCACTGCCCTCCCTTGTAAGCCACAAAAGTAGGGACATACCAGGGAGTAGCTGCTTGGCACTGTGGAGATTCTGGACTGCAGCCCCTGGGACTGCTCTGATTATGCCAGGAGCTGTTTTGGTCCCCACAGCAGCCCAGAATCCAGATGACCCAAAGGTGACAAAGCTACTCTTGCCCCCTGCATTTTCTAGGCTGCGCCTCTCAGGAGAGGAGGCACAGAATATGGCCCTAGGGCTGATGCCAACACCCATAAATGAAACTGGACAGCTTTTCCACCATAATTTTACATTATTCCTTGATGCTACTGGTCATCAAAAATGTTTGGGTCAAGCAGGCCTCTAGCTCCTGGTAAGTAAACGCCACTGTGCTGTGACAGTCATGGTCTGCTTTCTGAACAGGTCAAGTTATTGCAGTGTGCAAGTTGTACAGAATCGCTGCTGATGTTTGCAGGATTGTCAGATCTTCCAGGCGCAGTACTTCTACCAAAGCCAGTTGGTTTTCAAGGTTCACCTTGTCCTTTTTCATTTGGGAAATCTGAAGTGAATAAAAACCAAGAGGATATTTAAACTCAGTAATAAAAATAGATGTAGCCCAGAAACAGACATTTACGACTAGTTAATTTGTGCCAGAGGTAAGTGACATCAAAATGTGTACTAGTTACATTTTATGACTTATCAAGAAAACAGAATTAGTGGCAAAATGAAAAAGCGTTCATTCAAAATCCACAACACAGACAGAAAACACAGACTAAACCCAACGTTAAGAAAATATCAGGTTCCTCATTAAGTAGCCCAGTGTTCATAGGAACATAGGAGTTGCCAGACTGGATGAGACCTAAGGTCCATCTAGTCCAGTATTCTGTTCGCACCGGTGGCCAGCACCGCAAGGTTCAGAAGAACCTTACAGACGGTAAGCAGATGTTCAGCAATCTGCCCCCTACAGTAGGTCAGAGATGGTAAGCCTAGTTATATTGTAGTCACCAATACTACTCAAGCTACTCATAATTTCCACCACAACTTCCATAACCACCCCGCACCCACTCAACACTCTCTAGAACACTGCCACACCAGCATCTACTTTCTGGACACCACAATCAACTTCAATAATGGACTCGGCTAGTTACTTCATGAATTAGCTCCCATGCTTGAGTTAAGACAAAATCAAGAATAGCCTCTAGAACTAGCTTTTGTTAGAAGCAAACTCTTAACGGATCAAAGTTTTGACACAAGTACTCAACACTGTCCCATTGTGCCTTTTGAACGGTTTATATCTGAACTTATAGAACTGAAATCTCCACTGTTATCATTTCATTATACTTGTCTGCCTCGGATTTCTCTCAACATTGTGTATTCAGTTTCCTTTTCCTGATCCAGAGGACAGTAGCATAGCCCTACTAATACATTTACATTCTTACAATTTGGAATTTGTATCCATATAGATTCAACTATGTAGTCCTCTCCTCTCTTAATTTTTTCTAGCTATGTTCAATGGAATCCTTTATATACAGCGCTATTCCCCCACTTCTTCAGTCTAGTCTGTCTTTCCTGCATAGTTTATAACCATATCCGATTGGTTTTTAATCATTCCACCACATTTCTATAATGCCTACTACATCAAGGTCCTCTTCCACTGCCAGGCACTCTAGTTCACTCTTTTTGTTTTTAAAATTATTGCATCCCCTCTGTACAGGTTCCCACTTCCCAAAAATGTTCCCCAGAAACTAAGATGAAACCCCTCTTCTATGCACCATGTTCTCAACCCCACACGGATACTGGAAGGACTTCAGGGAATGCTCCCCTCCCCCAGATCTGGACCTAAGCCTTCTACCTAGCAGTCTAAATTTAGCTTCCTGGACTTCTCTCCTACAGCTCCCAATGTCATTGGTATCAACATGTACCACCATCATAGGCTCCTCCCCAGCATTCACCAGAAGTCCATCTCGGGTCTTGTAATATCCACCACCTTTGCAACGGGCAGGCAAGTCACTACACTGTTCTCTCAGTAACGACATACCTAGCTGTCTATTCCTGATGATCTAATCCCATGCCGCTGCCTGTAATTCCATCCCCTGAAACAACCTCTTTGGTGTCTGAGGAATTGTTCATCTCCATTATCGCAGTGGGAAGGAAATCCCATCTAAGAAGGTGTATCCTTCCATTTCAGCTAGGTGCACTTCCATCATAAGATTGGCTTCCTCAACTGGAAGACCAGGGAAGTCAGCTCTGAGGTGGGCTTGCTCTACAATGTCCCTATATGCCACATCTATAAACAATTCTGTCTCTGCTCCTCCAGTTCAGGCCTAAATAAGCTGTACCTAGGCTCTGAGGGCCATGAGCTGCTTGAACTGTGTGCATACATGTTTTCTTTGCTGAGGATGTATTTTTATAACATTCTTAACAGAGGTGCATTTTGTTCTCAGGGAAATAGTAATTTAATTTTACTGTAGGCAATTATATATGGCACATTGGTCTATAGTAGAGTCGACACTGAGTAGGTGTTTTGATCTGTTGTATTTTTAAATGACATTTATATTAACAAGAGCTCAAAAGCAGCTTTGTCCACAGGACATTGGTAGCGCAAGACGCCCTTTCATACATTTGCCCAGTCTAGCCACAGGGTGACAGTTCGGTCATTTCTTTCTGTGTGTTGTGAGGCCCTAAGCAACGCTGAGGAAGTGCGCACATGAGATGCATGAATGAGTCTGGGCACTGACAATGTTATCTGTCAAAGGGCAATGGGCTACCAGTCATATCCAGGGAAGTGGCTGGGCCTTAACTGCCTGAGAACCTCTGTGACCCACTGACTGTTAACCCAGATAAGGTTTTTGGGGGAAGTACGTGGACTTGCAGTTTAAGATAGATGTGGTGATAAAACTGCTTGCAGGAAGGAAGGCCCCAAAAGCGAACCAAAGGTTAAGCCTGACCACCCTCAACAAGGATTGGACAACGCACTAGTCGGGGTCACCAGTGTGGTTAAATGTTGGGCTGCATATGTGTGTGTTGCCCCAGCTCTGTGCAGACAGCTGGCACAGCAGACCTCGAGCGAACTGCCCAATGACCACAAGATCTGTTAGGGTACGAAAGCACCAGGCCAGATTTATTGTCTACAAAGCTCGGTACTAGTATCCCGCAGACTCTACCGGACCACGAATACACATATGCCCGTAACAATGGGCCAGCTCAGTGAACGGTGGGACTTTCTGTTCCTCCCTAGGCCAAAGATATTCCCTCTGAAATACATCTTTATACCCTGATACAAACAAGTTAGTACTGTCCCATAGTTAGTTACTGCCCCCTGACGTGGCTAGTTATCACCCATCACCTTGTATATGTTGGTTCAATCAAAACATCTCTATTACATACTATCATCCTGACCTTATCTTTTAGGATGCGTTGCTGTTATTCTTAGGGGATGTTTTTGTACCATCCTTGATATGGGAATGTTCTGGTACCACTTAATATCGGGATGTGTTTGTGAGAGTAGTCTGGGCTTAGCACTTCTTAGAAACGTGTATTTTTTGCAATATTAGCCCTATTCTTGCCAGATGCTGTAAGCAGGTCCCGCCCCATACCAGGCCTCTAATACAAGAGCTTTTTTGTCTCAAGCTCTCTTCCTACTACAAGAGATATGGAACCTGCGATCTCTCATTTGCTTGGAAAAATCTCTGGGCGGTACTGGGAGAATTACCAACTCCTATTACAACCTTAAAAAGCCAAGTGTGCTGCTTCATGTGTCACCACAAAGACAGCCAGATGGCTGATACCCTACTTTTCCTGGACCAGTCCCCAGGAAAGAGGAGAGAGATTCTCTTAGACCAGCCAGCTGACCAGAGGATGACACATATTAGCGTAAGATATCTGAGCCAAAAGACATCATCTGGTTCCCCGAACTGCAGTTCCCGACTGACTCTGAGGCTCCACGGGACTAAGCAAGCCGAAGAGTAGATCCTTTAAGTATTTTTCTCTTTTGAATTCTTTTCTAAGATAACTGCGGGGATGCCTGCAACTAATAGACTTTTCCTAACCATTTGTTTGGGAGGAGGTAGTAGTAACAGTAGAATCACATACTGGTTAATCCATATAAGAAAACAATAACTGGACTCAGACTAACCTAAATTCTTAGCAAATCCTACCCTAGATCGAAAGGGGTCATCCTGCGTCTGTAGAGGTGTTAGCACAAACCGCTCTGCTGGAGAGGGGAATCTTGAACTCCTGATTCCAGTGTACTGAAGGTAGAGAGGTGGGAATGGGGGTGGGAAGGGGCACAGACACGTCCCCGCGACAGTGGCACGGCACCGCAGCTGTACCACCATACCGTAGCCACTTCCTGCAGCAACAGGAGGGTTTTTTCTGCGGATTAGGTAACCATCCTCTCCAAGAAGCGGTAGCTAGCTCAACAGAATTCTTCCATTGGCCTAGCCACATGTATATTAGAGATTAGGTTGACCAAATTACGTGGCTCAAGATGCAAACATTTTTCACAGCCCTGAGTGACATCAATCTAAATTTTAAGTGTAGACCAGTCCTGAATAAGCCATTCAATGACGGGCTCTCCAAAAGGATGTATCAATACCTGTAGGGCTAAGGAGGAGCTGGGGAAAGGGGAATGGCAGGGGGGGTGAAAGGATTCACTCTGTTATATTGGTTTCATGATTTGACTACAGATCATGTTCCTACAATGATCTGATCAGTTAAACATAAGAACGGCCATACTGGGGGAGACCAATGGTCCTGCTAGCCTGCCATCCTGTCTTCAGAGGGAATGAACAGAACGGGGCAATCATCGAGTGATGCATCCTGTTGTTCAATCCCAGCTTCTGCCAGCCAGAGCATGGAGTTGCATCCCTGACTATCCTAATAGCCATTGATGCACCTGTCCTCCATGAATTTATCTAGTTCTTTTTTTAATCCAGTTATAATTTTGGCCTCCACAACATCCCCGACAAAGAGTTCCACAGGTTGACAGTGCGTTGTGTGAAGAAATACTTCCTTATGTTTGTTTTAAATCTGCTGCCTGTTAATTTCATTGTGTGACCCTGGTTCTTGTGTTATGTGAAGGATTAAATAACACTTCCTTATTCACTTTCTCCACACAACTCATAATTTTATAGAGCTCTCCCATATCCCCCCCTTAGTCATCTCTTTTCCAAGCTGAACAGTCCCTGTCTTTTTTTTCTTTTTTTGGGGGGGGGGGGCTCTGATTCTCAATCTATTTTCTTGTCAAGTTATTGATGTCAATTTACGCTATTGTTAATCCCTTGATTAATTCATCTGATCTCCAGTGTAACCTCAATTTTATTATCGCATTGTTTTAGGGAAATGCACTACGTTAACTAGCTTTGTATTTGCTTATTTATTTTCTTACTTAATTCATAAAAAGTACACCTACTTGGTTTTCTCTCTTCACATCAGATGGCCGTGAGGTACACAACACCAGATAAAGGAATATGATGGCCACTACACTCCTCCTGAGTTAAAGCCTATCACCACTGCAATAAGATTACTGCATGCATTTTTTAAAGAAAATCATTGTAACCGTTGGACCATTTTCTGATCTCAGTTATACTGATGTAAATCCAGAATCACTTCAGTGCGGTCAATAGCAAGGGGCTTTTTTCATTTGCCACCTTTTTATGCTTTACCAAGTGTTCCTAATCAAAAACCCACTTGAATTAAATGGAAATAATCCCATTGATTTAAGGTCCATATGCATAATGTACACCAAGATATTCCAAAAAGAGTGACAGTCCCCTCCAACTCCCCCAAAGCAGGGTAAATCCTAAACTAAGGCACCCTTACTGTACCAGAAGCCAATCTCAGTTATATTGGTGTAAATCTGGAGTATATTATGCCTGAAGCACACTTTGAATAGAAAAACAAAAGGCACCTTGCCCACAAAAATAAGCACTTAGCTAACGCCGGAAATAAACTGATAATTGTAGGTCAAACCATTGCCTGTAAAACACACAGAGCCAGATGCTACCCTCATTTACATCACTGAAGTTAATGGTGTTACTACCAATTTATGCTGGGTTGTCTACACAATACTGTAGTCTGCACTAGAGGGGTGCAAATTTTAGTCCACACTAGCGTGTTGCAAACTAACTTATCTGTGCTGGTGCACACTAAAAGTTCCCTAACACGCATTAATGTAGTCCTGTTTCAAACAGCAGTATGTTAACATACAAAGGAACTTTTAGTGCACACCAGCAAAGTTCACATGGACCTGTTAGTGCGCAACATGCTAGTGGGGACTAAAATGTATACCCCTCTGTTCCAGACTACAGCACCACATAGGCAAGTGTTGGATCATATTAAAGAAGTTCTGTATTAAAATCACAAATGAGTTTGATTCCCCAGAGTTTAAATTCCAGGGTATTACTAATTAAGAGGTCTCTTGGTTTTTGGTACTGTTTCTCTCCCTCTATGTATGAAACTTGCAAGCTGCTAATTGTGTTAGTACATTCTAAGACAGAGTCTGTTCTCAAAGCAATTCACAGAGAGAGAGACTCAAAGCAATACTCTAACAACAGAAACAGCACCCAGAGACTCCCCACCCTTTTGTTGTATTAACAATTGTGATTAAAATAGAGATAGAGGATGTATGTGGATGGATGCTTGGTGTGGATAATAACTGAATGATCAGGGAGGTGCCAGCCTAAGAATCCAGTGTCCATCGGCTGAAGAAGGCATCAAGTGGAAATAACCAGAGGACCCCCCCCCCCCCGGAGGGCAGACTGGAATCCACCCAACAGCCTCAAGAATGGGAGAACCAAAGAACAAGATAACATCTAGCAGCAGGGAGCCGCCAGGAATGTGCTATCTGCTGATTGATTCAGCAACAGCATGATGAAGCAATTCCCATAGACTGGCATAGGAAGAAATTCCTATAAAAATAGACTCTAAAAAGTGAGAACTTTGGGGTCTGATTCTGCAAACCAACTTCCAGGAGCATCAGATGAGCATCTGACAAGGCCCTGCTCCCTCCTCATGTCCAGGCCACCTGGCCAGTGGCTTGGCATGAGCAACTCTAAGGCTGGTAACTATGATAACAACCTTGCAGAACCTGTGTGTGTGTGTTTGTATGAATGAATGTGTGAATAAATATGAGATTGAATGGCATGTTATAGCTATAACTAACTGCTTACTATGATTCTTTCTGTATTCACAATAAATGTGGTATTTTGCCTTTTTCCCTTTAATAAGATCCTGCTGGTTTTTATTTTATTGGTACAACACAAGCCCCTTGGTGGCGTCTACCCCATTGTATTCTTCTAGCCAAGTTACCTGGTGAAGGATGTGCTGTGTCTCCTCTATTAAAGAAAAGCATATTTTTGCTGCTATGTTCAAACTGCTCTCTTCATTTCTGGCTGAAATTTTATCACCAAGCAGCACTTTCTTCCAGTAGGTACTAAAGCAAAAAATATGTTTGACAAGTGATTATTTGTTGCATTCCTGAGCCAGAAGTTAAACTGAAGTTATACCCCAAAATAAATAAATAAAAACCCAGATAGATTACTAAGTCAAAGTTAGACCCACCGCACTCAGATACCACAATGATGTGCATGGTTTAAGCCGCTGAGTAGAACAGAACACATATTGCATGGTATGAAAGACAGATGGGTCTCAGTATCTTTCAGCTACTTTAACATGTTCTATCGAGGACTAAACCCTCACAGCGTAGAGGAGTGTAAATATTTTTCCTTTTAATTTTAAAACATATTTGATAACTGACAAAGCTCACCTACCCATCTGCAAACAATACCAAGATTTTGAAGGCCAAATTCACTGCTGAAATAAGCAAGATTAATTTTGTGACATTGGTGCTGAACCTTTGTACTTCAGTGATGAACTTGGCCCTGAAATTTCAAAAGTAGTCCCTGAAATATACTTTTCAGAGAAATCAGAATGATGTCTGAGTTCATGGGACCCATCAAAGTGACAAATGTAAGAAACAGAAACCTAACATTAAAGCAATATCCAGTTCTTGGAGTAGGAAGGGAACAACAACAGAATGCTTGGTGTTTAACTGAATACAGTTGTCATAGATGCAACAAGCAGACAACAACTTTTAAATTATAGATTGTTCCAAATCCTTCTTGCACCTCAGTTAGTTAGTGTGAGAAGACACAGATTAGAAAATAATGCCTCTCCTAGCCCTCTAAATAAATGACCACATTTCTATAAGTGTATTTGAAACTTACAATTCATCTGCTCCAAGACATAACAACTTGAGAGCCGTGAGGAGTCTCCATGATGGCCCATCCCTTCCAAACGTCAAATTTCTAAAAGTGTCAAAAATTACCAAAAGGTAGAAAGCAGGAGTTCATTAAACAAGTTTGTGATCTTCACACTAACACTAACTGTGGCAACAAAACGTCTGCCTAGTAGCAGCCTCCTCCCACCCTAGAACATAGTTAAGGAGAAGCCGATCCACAGTCCATGTGGGAACTACACTGTAGCATCCAGGGCAAAAGGATTCTCCCCAGCTCCCTTTCCTCTGCTGCTTCCCACAGCCTTGAAACAGGATGGTACAGATTGTCTTGTGCTGACCCCTAACCTTGATCTTTAGCTTTCATATTGCCTTTTATCCACTTAAATTCTCTTCCACTATCAAGGAGTGAAACAGAAAACCTATATATTTTTATAAACCAATTTTTTTGCAAGTTTAAAAAAAAAAGCATCTGAACTTTTATTTCAGTTTTGTTGTAACTATTTTCTCAAATGGAAACCAGGGTTTTAAAGAGATACCTACTCTAACAAGTTATGATCCTTTAGAATGGAAAGCTTCATATTTCTCTGCTTGTCTGCTGAAAGGAGATGCTTAAGAAGGATATCTGCAAAATATATATTTAAAGATCCTTAAGCAACCAGTTAACATTGAAAACAAGCTAACTTGAACTGTAAAGTATTTTCTTATATTTTAACTATAATCAATCTTCCAACTGAACAGTACACAAAAACCAACTCAGATAATGTCAAAACTTTAATGAATTTTACCTTGAGTTGAAGAACACCTCTGAAGAGCACTCAGAAACTTGCAGGATTGAACCCAGAGAGAGAGTTAATTCTGGCATTTCCTAACTTTTGAGTACTTGACCTGGCAACCTTAATAATGTTATTTTAACACAATTTTTGACATATAGTCAGTTCTAAAGCACCAAGAGCCAGATGCTCAGCTGGTAAATCCACATAACTCCACTGAAGTAAATGGAGCTAATTTATACAAGCTGCAAATCTTACTTTAAACAACCTCAATGCTTTATAATAAAAATGTAACTTGTCTACTGCATACTCAAATCCAAACAGCTGTCTCTCTCTCTCTCTTCACATGCCTGCATAAGCAACCAAGGCTCACTGACAAAAAATAAACAAAAAAATTCACTTCCCAAGCTATTTTTTGGCTCTCCAATCAGCTTGTTGGCCAACTCATAACCAAGTCTTCACCACATAATTATTAATTTTCTATAACAATGACTTGGCTGCCTAATAGCATGGGTTTCTCTTATTGTGGTCTCAGTTCAGCAAAGCACTTAAGCACATGCTTAAAACCAAGTTTTGCAGAACTGGGGCTTCTAAGACATGCGAGCATCCTATGAAAAGGCTCTATCAATATTTAATCTGATACAGATGCATGCACGCACACACTTGAGGGTAGTTTGCAAAAATCTCCCAGCATTTCCAGTTCCATCCTTAAATTATTCTCTAAAGCCACAATCCTGCAAACACTTAAGCACGTGCCTAACTTTTACTCGCATTAGCGGTCCCATTGAAGCTAGTGTTGCTACTCCTGTGCTTAAGGTTAACCAAACACGTAAGAGTTTTCAGAATAAAGCTAACTAAGTTTCATAGCGTAACAAATAAAACCTGAGCAAATCCACAAAAATGATGGCCACTTAACACAAACACACGGTCACACTCTTTTAGTTAAAAATTCCTATTAGGTGTAGTTCAAAAAGACAAAAATGGAACCAACCCAACCCTATATTTCACTTTAATGCTGCTAACAATCCCAAAATTGATCATACTGGCTACAGCCTAATGCAGAGTGAAACTATGTAAGCTTCCTCACTGCCCCTCAATTACCACATTTATCCAGATGAAGAGATAAAGCTGCCTGGCTCACTAGTACTTCACATTTTAATATCAAGATCAAGCTACCAACCTGCTGAGACATAAACTCCACTCTGTGGGTTGTTGATGGCAACAAACCCATATTCTAGCAGAAGTCGCTGGTTATCATGAGGGCCGTAAGAGATAAACAGTTCTTCATGTCTTCTGCAATGTGAATCTGTCCTGATTTCATAACATCTCGTCTGCTCATTAAATGCAGCTTTTACCTTTGAGAAATTTTAAAAAGACAATATTTCCTCTATAGCAGTGAGGGGGAAAAAAACCCATCAGACCTAGACTGATAAAGACCAGTAATATTTTCTTACTGTGACAAAAGGCTATAAACATCTAGAACTCAATGATGAAATATTTGAAGTGATTTTGAAGACTGGGGATTGTCTTTGTTGCACTTAGGATCTTATCTGAAGAAGAGGAAAAATTCTCTAAAATACTAAAACAGAACAAACATAAAATCCTTGGGTTCAAGGCTGTGCTGCCTCCAGGAGGCAGAGCATAGAAGGTCCAGCTCAGGGGAAGCGGGAACAAAGCTAGCTTTAAGCCACCTTTGTGCTACCCTGATTCTGCGTGGTCATGTGAGTCACTGTGGTCCCTGGCATAAATCAGAGCAACTTTATAGGCAGTCCTGATGAGGTTGCCATAGGCTGCTTTCAAGCCTAGTACCAGGCACTATAGAAACCACATGCCCCCTGCACTGTGCCTTGTGAGGGGGGTAATACAGAGCTGCTTACAGGGCCCCTCTGCTGGGAAAATTCTCCCCAAGCCATTTCTGGAGACATGGGCCAAAATAATGGCATTTGGCGCAGGCATAAACATGTGACTCATTGGTGGCATACCCCCTGGTGGCTGGGGCATGGTGTAAAGACGTTCCTCCTTTAGCGCCCCCTGCTTGACAGCCATTCCACCCCTACTGCGGTCTGATTCTTCATGCAACTCAGCCCCCCTCCTTCCAGCTCACGTAGAGTCCCACCCCTACCAGGGTAAACCAGCTAGTGGTCCTTCGACTCACGTTGGACAGTCAGTCTGAGTACGGACTCACCAGTCCTCCTCTCTAGTATCAGGGGAGTTCAGCAGTCCTTACTCCTCAGGGAGAGAGGGGGACACCCCCTCTTCCTTGGTGGGCTGGTAGAACTCAGGCCCTCCGACTCCACTGGGTCCAGACCAAGGACCCTCATTACGTAGTCAAGGCCCTTGCGGTCTCCTGGTCCACGTCTTACCTTATCCTGTCTTGGGCATTTATCTCAGCCTCTTCCCAGGCTCCCAGTATATCAGCTCCACTCTAAGCCGCTTTCCAAAGGGTCATTGCAGGCCTTCTTAGCATTTTCTGCTACCCAGCTAGGTCTGTTGCAGAGGGGTTTTCCTCCACTCCCCTGGCAGGGCAATCCCTGACTTGGCAGAAGTCTTCCTGCTCCTTGCAGGACCCTCCACCACTGGGGAGAAACCTGGGTGGATTCACCTCCTGCCACTTTCTTTCCCAACTGCCTGAGTGTCTCCATTGCAGAGGTACCTTCCTTCAGGGAGGCTTTGTCTGCCAGCAACCCTACCCAGCTCCCTGACTCCAGCCAGGCTTCTCTCACTGAGCGAGAGCCAGAAATCTGCTCTCCTTTCTGGTCAGCCCCTAACTGAGCCAGGGTCAGCCCTTTTAACTTCTCCTTCACGTCTGACACATACTGCAAGTGTAGTGGGGTGACGCTGATTGTGCCCACAGGCTTTCATTAATCCCTTCAGGTTGAGTGTGGGTTTGCTACACCTCATCACACCAGGGTACTGGGGGTCGGCAGAGGCGTGGAATCCTTTCCCCCATCCTTATTTTGCCACTTGATTCATAAAATCAATTCTATTTGTGAATTCACTCTGGGTTACATGATACGTTTTAGTGGTGTATCTACTGAGCCTATAGCTGTTCTACAAACACTACACTATTCACACCAGTCATGACCCTTCAGTGGTATGCTGTGTTCCGAATTCATCAGAGACAAGAATGTGGGTTCTGCACAGAGTCAGTGCACTGTACATCACAAAAACTATGGTTCTGTTTTTCCAGCTTCTTACCTGAACATTTGGACTGTGGTTTAGCAGATCTAAATAAGGCGCTAGTGCATAAACATCTGGCTCTCTAGAGAAACATTCCCTCTGTGAATGCTTCATGTACACTGTTCTAGTATTAATGGTGCACCAAGCCCACCGCAGGGCATCGTAGTTAAAAACAGTTTCTACATTCTCAGTAAACAAAGACTGCAGAGAAAAGAAAAAAGTCTTGGAAGAGGTATACAGTTCCTGGACCACTGTTCTTTGCTCCTCAGCCTTTCTTCTTAAGGGCTCAGGAAGAAGTCTCACTACTTCTTGCTCCAGACAAACAGGGCACGTATAGGTCTTTGGTAAAACATCTAGATAAGGCTTCCACACAGATTGCTCACCAGCATATTTCTCTGCTATTAAAAATGTGCACAGTGCTATCAAAGGAGATATGGGAGGCTTCCACCTATCAAAAACATAACAGATACACAGAAGTGAGATGGATAAAATACAACCACACATATCCTTTTAATACTTTGAGATTTTAAATAAATATTTTAAACTTCTTTGTAGTTCACCTGCAAATGTTTTTTCATTATTTCAAAGTGATTTTAAATTTATTTTACTGACAAGCTATTAAAATACTGTACCTAGTAAAACATTGGATTTTGTTTAAACAAAAATATAAAATAGTCTTCTATACTCTATATCACCTTTTGTTATGAATTTGCTGAAAGGGTGCATTCATATAGCACTTCGTAGTCTCATATTTGAATTCCTTTCTTTTAGGACATGCACATTTAATAATTTGAAACAAATCATTTACAATTCCATTTAAGAAGGGCCCCATCCTACAAAACCTTACTCATTGAGCAATCCGCATGCATGCAAGTAGTCTTGTTGAGACCAATGGGAATATGTTGTGATGCTTCTTGGGTCACCCAGAGCTATGAGTCACCTTGTTACCACCTGCCGCCAGTACGAAGGAGTCCTGCCTGTGCTCAACTGGATGTTAGCTTTCTAACACAACCAGCCCATCATAATAGCACTCTCCTCTGACTATATTAGCCCTTCATTTGCCCTGCAGGTTGACAATAGATGCACCCCAGGCCTTGCGTCCCTTCAAAGTGTCACCCTGTGCTAACCAGCCCCTGATCACTGGACACCCACAGAAATACCAAATCCTCTGTTCCCAAAGAAACAGTGTACCAGTGTTCTAAACAATAATAAATCACCAGGACCAGATGATATTCACCCAAGAGTTCTGCAGGAACTCAAATATGAAACTGCAGAACTACTAATTGTAGTCTGTAACCTATCATTTAAATCAGCTTTTGTACCAAATGACTGGAGGATAGCTAATGTGACGCGAATTTTTTTTAAAAGGGCTCCATACGTTACCCCAGCAATTACAAGCCCGTAAGCCTGACTTCAGTACCAGGCAAACTGGATGAAACTATAGAAAAGAACAAAATTGTCTGACACATAGATGAACATAATTTGTTGGGGAAGAGTCAACATGGTTTTTGTAAAGGGAAATCATGCCTCATCAATCTACCAGAATTCTTTGAGGGGGTCAACAAGCATGTGGACAAGGAGGAACCAGTGGATATAGCGTACTTAGATTTTCAGAAAGCCTTTGACAAGGTCACTCACCAAAGGCTCTTAAGCAAAGTAAGCTATCATGGGATAAGAGGGAAGGTCCTCTCATGGATTCGTAACTGTTAAAAAGATAGGAAACAAAGGGTAGGAATAAATGGTTAGTTTTCAGAAAGGAGAAAGGTAAATAGTGGTGTCCCCCAAGGGTCTGTACTGGGACGAGTCCTATTCAATGTATTCATAAATGATCTGGAAAAAGGGGTAAACAGTGAGGTGGCGAAAATTGCTGAGGATACAAAACTACTCAAGGTAATTTAGTCCCAGGCAGACCGTAAAGAGCAACAAAAGGATCTCACAAAACTGGGTGACTGGGCAACAAAATAGCAGATGAAATTCAAATGTTGATAAATGCGAAGTAATGTACTTTGGAAAACATAATCCCAACTATACATATAAAATGATGGGGTCTAAATTAGCTGTTACCACTCAAGAAACATCTTGGAGTCATTGTAGATAGTTCTCTGAAAACATCCACTCAATGTGCAGCAGGAGTCAATGATTCCCAACATTCTGTTTGCTTTTTTAAGAAAGGGATAGATAAGAAGACAGAAAATACCATATTGCCTTTATATAAATCCATGGTATGCCCACATCTTGAGTACTGCGTGCAGTATCTGAGTGGTCGCCCCATCTCAAAAAAGATAAATTGGAACTGGAAAAGGTTCAGAAAAGGGCAACAAAAATGATTAGGGGTATGGAACGGCTTCCATATGAAGAGAGATTAATAAAACTGGGACTTTTCAGCTTGGAAAAGAGACGACAGAGAGGATATGATAGAGGTCTATAAAATCATGACTGGTGTGGAGAAAGTAAAGAAGGAAGTGTTATTTACTCCTTCTCAAAACACAAGAGCCAGAGGTCACCAAATGAAATTAATAGGCAGCAGGTTTAAAACAAATCAAAGGAAATATTTTTTCACACAACACAGTCAGTCTGTGAAACTCTTTGCCAGAGGATGTTGTGAAGGCCAAGACTATAACAGGGTTCAAAAAAGAACTAGATAAGTTCATGGAGGACAGGTCCATCAATTACTATTAGCCAGGATGGACAGGGATGGTGTCCCTAGCCTCTGTTTGCCAGAAGCTGGGAATGGGCGACCGGGATGAACCACTTGATGATTACCTGTTCTGTTCATTCTTTCTGAAGCACCTGGAATTGGCCACTGTCGGAAGAGGGGATACTGAGCTAGATGGACCTTTGGTCTGACCCAGTATGGCTGTTCTCATGTTCTTACCATGGTTTAGCAGTTTTACCTTAGACTATCGCTCCCCTCTATTATACACAGCACTTGAGGTCAATTATAAACAAAAGGAAAATTTATTTAAGAGGAGATTCAAATAAAAACCAGTGTGAGAAATGGGAATAAATGGTTACGTTTAAAACAAAATCATAACATACATTCTAAACCCTAAACTTAACAAGTAATCCTTCTGTCTAAAGTAGGACATCTTACCCAAATTTATTTCAAGAGTTTTCAACCAACCCTGGCAGAAATCCCTTTTTCATGAAGCAAACCCTCTGTCAGTTTACTTCCTAGATGAAGGATGAGGGTGTACCTCCAAACCCCTTAGTTATACACCCAAACTAAGATCCTTCTAAGCTGTATGCTCACACAGCAGCTCATTAAGCTCAGGGCTCTGGCGGGGAGAGATACCTCTCCCCAGACCCAACCCAGCCACGGACCTGCCATGGCTGCAGGAGAGGCACCCCAGCCCCAACCCAGCCCGGCCGAGACTTGCCGTGGGAGAGGCGCCCCTCCTCTGGCCCTAACCCAGCCCAGGCCTGACCTGCTGCGGCCGTGGGAGAGGGAGAGGTGCCCCTCCCCCAGTTCCAGCCCCGGCAGGGAAAGTCACCCCTCCTTCCCTGCAGCAGCACCTGGGCTGAGCGGGAGAGCTGGGCAGAGTCCTCTCTCCCCACCATAGCCCCAGGGCAGCCTGCACCTCAAACCCCTCATCCCCGGCCCCACCTCAGGGCCTGCACTCCAACCTCCTTCCCTAGCCCTGAGCCCGCCCCACACTCTGTCACACACTACCGCCATATTGGTGCACATAACAGAATTCATTCTGCACATGGGTGGGAAAAATTAGAGGGAACACTACCCCAAAGTTCATTGTCCTTACTTAGGAAACAGAGCTCTCCTCTGCTCATATACTTCTTCCTGTAAATTTCCTGTCTTTGAAGATTCCACAATCCTTCATTAGCACTCAGCTCAGACTATAAATGGATACCCATTTTGAACCAAACATTTCTTGCCAGAAAGAAAACCGGAAAGGTGAAAAGCAGGTTATCAGTCCCTAGTCACACACCTTAAGGACAGAATTTTCAGTGTATCTATACATCCATTTTGCAATTATTATGACACAAGTTTCCATTAGAGACCTTACATGACATTATTTGGTGATAGGGTGACCAGATGTCCTGATTTTATAGGGACAGTCCCTATATTTGGGGCTTTTTTAATATGGCTCCTATTACCTCCCACCCCCGTCCCGATTTTTCACACTTGCTGTCTGGTCACCCTATTTGGTGAACCCAGAGGATCCCTGTACCTGTTGCCATTTGGCATCCAGAGTTTCTTGGGTCACATACATGTGTAAATTAGGCTTTACAGATTGAGGCCCTAACACAAATTCAAATGAATAATCTACCATTGTGTGAGCACCCTATAAATACCAACAAAAATCTTAAGAGATTTTCTTTCCCTCCTCCACACTTACTTTGCAATGTTTTCCCCAAGGTAGCTACTAAGGACAGTACCAGTGGTGAGCAAGCATTTCTCCGGCAACGAAATAATCAGTTCCCCTGCCTTTGAGAAAAATCAAACAGACTAAAAGTCAGATCGAAAATGAGCCATGGATGCACAATTCATAAGTGTAGAGAAATGTCCCAGAGCACATCAGAGCCAGGAGGCAAACGGATATGACCACAACTTCAGCGGAGATCATTGTAGTTGTAAAATTCTGGTGGTCCAGCAATGTAGGAAGTTTGTGCAGCGTGTGGTAGGATGTCCTGACAGAGGATAAACAGTTTCTGTGTAGGCTGGTGACTGGCTGAGAAGCATCACCTTTCCCCTTGAACAGAATATACCATACTTGGAGCGAAACCCCTTTGACAGGGGAATTTTCTACTGAGCATTTACACCCAGGTTATGGCTCCTTTGTGTCCCTTTCAAACAGGACTACATTAACACAAACTAGGTACCTTTTAGTTCATGCCTGCAGTGTCCACACAGGATAGTTAAAGCACAACATTTTGGTGCCCTTTGCAATTCACACCCCCGTAGTCCACACTGCCGTGCAGAGTACATGTAGCCTTATATTAGCATGGGGGATTCCAGCTCCTGATTATAAACTATATCATCTTAGACTCCCCTCTAGACTTTTAGGCTCTCCCAGAAGCAATTTTGAGTAGGGCCCAGAAAGTCTCCAGCTGCTCCTGCAGTACATGTAATAAAAGCCATAACAAAGAAAATACTAACCTGAAAGGCTTTTGTGGTCATTAGGCCTCTTCCCGTATCTGAAATAGCAGGAACAAAAAGAATGATTACAATACAGTATACAATCTTCAGACTTTTCCATAAGACTACAACAAAACACTATGAATTAAAACTGGTCTGAAAAAGGAAACGTCATGAAAATGAACATATTTCTTATATAACATAAAAACCGTTTTTAAAAGTCCCCCATGGACTAGTTGAAGCTTATGTATGGATCTTGGTCCACATTTACTCAAAGGTATTTAGACACTTAACACCTACTGATTTAAATGAGAGGCACCTAATTACCTTTGAAGATATGGCTCTTATTTCTCTCTCTCTCCCCTTCTTCCTCTAGCTTCAATCTCTTCTCTGCTGTCTCCCACATTCTTATCACTTATGAAAGAAAGCCTTCGGCTCTGCAACTCCTGCCATCTGAACAATCTTCCTGTGTCCCTCAGCTTCACTCATTGTTTTCCCAAATCTTGGCTTAAAAACCACGTTTTTTTCTCCCCTGCTTCTAGCTTTTCTTGCTAGTTATTTTACACTCAGTGTTTTAGTTTCAGAGTAGCAGCCGTGTTAGTCTGTATTCGCAAAAAGAAAAGGAGTACTTGTGGCACCTTAGAGACTAACAGTCTCTAAGGTGCCACAAGTACTCCTTTTCTTTTAGTGTTTTAGTTGTCACCCTGCAATATCTCTGCAGTTGTTTCTCAATTTATACTACATACTATCTGCTGCCTTCTAATTTAATTTTCTAAAGATTTTTGAAGATTATTATTATTAAAGACACACACAGTAAACAATCCACTCAAATTTGAACTATTTATTATTATTGCTATCTGCATTCCATCTCTAAATGCTGATAGGTTTATTTAGTTAGTCTGCCAGAACAAATGAGGAAATGGTTACAAGCTTAGGCCCTCAGCCGGTAAACACTTTAAGCAACAGTATTTTACAAATGTGACTAGCTTCTTTAATGCCTATGACAGCAATCCTACAAGAAGTACTACGTGAGTGTACCCCGCTGCCCACGCAGAGCCCCTTTGGCTTCCATAGCAATTTGCAACAGCATAAGAACCCCTTCATGAGGAACAGCGGGCAGTATGTGGGCCAGAGTCTACTTGTGTGCATGAAATTACTCATGCATGCATTTGTTTGAAGGATTTGGGTCCGTAATGTCTGTACGCTGAAGACTCATTCCTGAAGAAAACCAGCCAGATGGGGATAAAACCACAGTGAGAACTGGACAACCTAGGATCAATAAGCAATTAAAGTATTACCTGAAAACTGTGCTGGTCTTAAATTTCGGTCATCAAACCCCCTCTCTTTCAGCCACTTCCTAAGTTGTATATATTCCAGTTTGTGACTCTGGTTTACTAAATGAAGAGACGAGTGATTAACGTATAGCATATAGTTTAATTAAAAACCCAGTGCACTTGTACCGTAGGACAGTGGCTTTCAAACTCTCCAGACTACTGTACCCCTTTCAGGAATCTGATTTGTCTAGCGTATCCCCAAGTTTCACCTCATTTAAAAACTACTTGCTTACAAAATCAGACATCAAAATTCAAAAGTGGCACAGCACACTAAATTGTAAATGTAAATTCCTCACATTCTCATTTTTACCATATAATTCTAAAATAAATCAACTGGACTATAAATATTGTACTTACATTTCAGGGTATAGTATATAAAGCAGTACAAACAAGTCATTGTCTGTAGGAAATTTTAGTTTGTACAAACTTCACTAGTGCTTTTTACATAGCCTGTTGTAAAACTAGGCAAATATCTAGATTAGTTGATGTATCCCCTGGAAGACTTCTGAGTACCCCTGGTTGAGAAGTACTGCTGTAGTAGACTTTTACCTTATACATAGAATGGTATTTTATAACATGACACAACATAAAATAGTGAAAAAAAGGCATCAGTTCTGTTAGGTACTGAATACCCTTAATGTCACTGATTTCACTGGAAATTGAGGGTATTTAGCATGACCAGGAATCACTCAGCATGTTACTAGATAAAACTCAGAGTAATACAGTATCATCCTTCAACCAGAAAACAGAACTCTCAAAGCTAAACATGGACAAAGAAAGACTGCAAGTTAAAGCATATTAAAACCAGAAAATAAAATGGTTGTTCACACATAACAACTGATATCCATGATTACTCTTGTAATAGCTCAGTGGTTTGAGCATTAGCCTGTTAAACCCAGGGTTAGGAGTTCAATCCTTGAGGGGGCCCATTTAGGGATCTGAAGCAAAAACTGGGGATTGGTCCTGCTTTGAGCAGGGGGTTGGACTAGATGACCTCCCTGAGGTCCCTTCCAACCCTGATATTCTATGAAGACATGTAGGAGTTCGAACATGCACAGACTGTAGAAAGATCCCTTGCCAAGTAGTTAATTATTCTGTTGCTTCCCTGAATGCAAGTGAAGACTAGATGAAAACATACAGTACCTCCATTTGAAGGCAAACTGCTGTATTGTTTTCTTCTTCTCTTTCTACCAGTCCGACCTTTATTTTTCCTCATGGTAAGAAAAGACTTCACCTTAGGTATACAACCTGAATGAAAAATGGGAAAACAGCCAAGTTCTTTTTTGATATTTCTTTCAGTTCCTGCATACATACAGAAGATGACTCACTCCAAACTTTTACAAATATACACAAAAGAAATTAAAGCTCTTCATATTCAACATCCTTCAGCTTTTCATCTCAGAAAACATAGGACATATAAGCACTTGAATGAGCAATGCAAGGAGAGGAGTGGGAAGCAAAAAGCTTCCATCCCATGCTGCCCTCCTTACCTAAGGACTGGGCATAATCCCCTTGGGAAACAGATATGCTCCCATTTCTACATTTAAAAATAAAGTGTCCACTCAGAAACATTATTAATTTACAGTTATGTTGATACAGTGAATAATATAACCCACAGATAAAATTCACAGCAAGAACACTTAAAATAACTATCTTCAATTAAAAAGTATGAGAGAAATAAGGTGAGTGAGGAAGTACCCTTTTACTGGACCAACTTCTGTGGGTGAACCAGGCCTTCAAGCTACAGTATCATCCTTCAACCAGAAAACAGAACTCTCAAAGCTAAACATGGACAAAGAAAGACTGCAAGTTAAAGCATATTAAAACCAGAAAATAAAATTTACTGGACCAACTTCTGTGGGTGAACCAGGCCTTCAAGCTACAACAGAAGTTGGTTCAATAAAAAAAAATATTACCTCACCCACGTGGTCTCTTTAATATCCAGGGACTGACACAGCTACACCACCACTGCATTTAAAAGTCTGAACATAACACGCGTAATTTACATAAATATTCCACTACCTTTGCAGTCCATTTATTCAATGAATGACAATACTGGCATGGAAAAAATTAACATGTTATTCCAATAACAACCCTAACTGTAACCCACAACATACAAAATATTTCATAATATACCTACAGAGTTATGGAGTACTTGTGGCACCCTAGAGACTAACGAATTTATAAATTTCAAGTAGTCAAGCTACACATATTCCTTTGATATATTTGACTAAATTACTTGTAAGCACATCTTACAGGTGAGCGTGTGGTTGCTACTGCAATGTGGACCGTGCCACGTGACCCCACTGTCATTATCGGAACTGAACCATAGCTTAATTCGAAGTGAGAGAAACGCGGCGCCAATTCGGCGGCGCCTGCTGGGGGCGGCAAAATTGGTAGAGCCGCCCCTGAGCCCCGGTTGCATTATCAACTGCATGCCGAATGGAGTAACCATAATAAATACTACTGTGCCCTTGACAGGTTTCAGAGTAGCAGCCGTGTTAGTCTGTATTCGCAAAAGAAAAGGAGTACTTGTGGCACCTTAGAGACTAACCAATTTATTTGAGCATGAGCTTTCGTGAGCTACTGCTCACTTCATCAGATGATACCGTGGAAACTGCAGCAGACTTTATATACACACAGAGAGATTGTTTCATATTCTCTGTGTGTATATAAAGTCTGCTGCAGTTTCCACGGTATGCATCTGATGAAGTGAGGTGTAGCTCACGAAAGCTCATGCTCAAATAAATTGGTTAATCTCTAAGGTGCTACAAGTACTCCTTTTCTTACTGTGCCCTTGTATTCCTTCCGGCGCCTTGGATTTTCAGAGCCCTGCGCAAGAGATTAAATAACTAACGAACACGTCTCTAGCAGCACGGGAGAGAGCTACACCAACCCACCGCGTTCACAGCTCCGATCGCCGGCTGGAGCACCCCTGGCTCCATTTTCTGGTTCGTTCCCGAGCTGCAATCCGAAAAAGAGCTTTAAAAAAAAAAAAAGCCTGCCCGCTAATGCCTGTCAATAATCCTATTTAAAATACGGCCTTTCGGTTCCAGCTTCAGGTCTCGCACAGCGAGCACATGGTAAAGCAAAAGCCTCACGTACTCCCAAGCCAGGCCCCGGTGGCCAGACTGCTTGCGCCCACCCCCCCCTCCGCCACCGCGCAGCCACGTGTTTCCTGCCGCCTCTCCCCCAGTGACCCTCCCAGCGCGGAGCTGCAGGCCGCCAGCAAAGCCATCCATCTAACACTCGCTCCGCCTCCAGCTCTCTCCTGTCGCGCTGTGCTCTGATCAGGCGGGAGCAGCGTCCCTATCTGCGAAAAGAGCTCCCCGCCCTCTCCGATCAACCCTTCCAGGCTCATGCATAAACACCATTGGCTCTTAGAGCAGGAGCCTGAAGCAGCTGAAGAGGCTGAGCTACGAATTGCCAGAGGCTAAGCTACGTATTGCTAGAGGTGAGTTTGCAAATTGCTTTCTTCCCCCCTAGCAGCCCCTTCCCCAACCAACCCACCCACCCACCCGCCTACGGGAGTGGGGGGCAGCTTGCATAAAGCGTTCCTTGCAGCCTGCCTTTACTTGTTACGGAGATCAGACCTCATTTCTTGTGCAGGACCTGCCTTAAGGAAAATGGTGGCCTGGGTGAATTTGTATTTTGGTGCCCCTGGTCCCCATGGGCATGGTGCCGCCCCCCCCAATTGCTCATGGCCCCGGTGGGCTCCCCACACCCCGTTGCCACTAATCCCTGCCCCGTTCCCCCTCCTGCACCCCTAACCCCTGCACTGTGCCCTCTTTGCTCCTAACCCATGCACCACCCCCCTCCTGTGCCTACATGGGGAAATAACCTGGAGGTATGGAGCAACTGGCATTGCTACTCACACTCCCCCCTCCAATGCTGCTCCTCCACACACCCCTAAGGGGCCGGGAGGGCGGAGCAAAGAGTGACCTCTGGGCACTTTCCCTATCTGGGCTGCGTAAGGGAAGGGACAGCAGTAGCCCAGCCTCCCAGGGGGACAAGGAGGAACGGGGCAGAGTAGAGCAGTATCTGTGCATCACTTATATCCCCCATGTTCCTCTGGCGGGATGAAGCAGGGTCTGGGAGAAATCTGGGTGCCTCCCACGAGGCACTCCCCCGCCAGCTGGGAGCAGCTTCTGACTCAACACTGGTAGTGTATACCTCTCCACTGCCGCACAGCGCCCCCTTAACCATGGCGCCCCTGGGCGATCGCAGGGTGGCTCACCCCTAAGGCCAGCCCTGTCCCTGCTTGCCCTAGTCTGCTCTTTGCCTCGCATCCATTTGCAAAGCACTTTGAAGAAGGAAGCTCCTGGATGAGTGCCCTGGAAAAACTGGTTTCAGAATAGCAGCCGTGTTAGTCTGTATCTGCAAAAAGAAAAGGAGTACTTGTGGCACCTTAGAGACTAACGGATGAAGTGAGCTGTAGCGCACGAAAGCTTATGCTCAAATAAATTTGTTAGTCTCTAAGGTGCCACAAGTACACCTTTTCTTTTTTCTTGAAAAACTGGAGACCAACCTCATTTTGCCCAATTATTTCTTGGTTTGGCAACTGGAGAGAAATGTAGCTTGGCAGAAAATTGCATAGAGAGTGAGCAGGAAGGTGTGCATAATCACAATAACCAAATATATACAGCTATATTCTTTTGCCTGTTGCAGTGAGCTTATTTTGCCATCCACTAGTCCAGGAGGATGTCCAGCACCCCAGTAGCTGTGGTGACCGGGGGCAACAAAGGGATTGGATTCGCTATTGTGCGGGCTCTGTGTAAGCAGTTCACTGGGGATGTGTACCTGACAGCCCGGGACCCAGGACGGGGTCAGACTGCAGTGACAAAACTGCAGGAGGAGGGACTGAGCCCGCTTTTCCACCAGCTGGACATTGATAATCTGCAGAGTATCCGGACTCTGCGGGACTTCCTGAAGGAGAAGTATGGTGGGCTGAATGTGCTGGTTAACAACGCAGGGATTGCTTTCAAAGGTACAGTGCTGACTTATTGGCAAGGCTTTGAGCTGTAAATTGAAGAATGATGAGTAGGTGTTGTTGTTTGTTTCTACAAGTATCATGCTTAGCTAGAGAGGCAACCAAGTATGATGATACCCAGCTCATCCCCGTGCCAGCAGAGAACTGTTCCCTACCTGACATTTTTCTGGTGTTTTATCAGATCACATTTTTGATCTTGTCTTCACTGCTGTGTTAGCTCAAGAAATAACTCAAATTATATAACTCAACTCCTGCCCACACACAGATCTCTAGCTTGAGAGAAGTGGTTCTTTAAACTTGAGCTAGCTGGCCCATCTGGGATCATGGGTTCATGCTCAAGTGCTGCTGAAGTAATGCAGTGAGGATACTGCTACTCTGTTACTAAGCCAGTCACTCTGTGCAGCTGAAGGGTTGCTTTGCAGAGTGGCTGCTCTCTTTCTATCTAGGCATGAGAGGCCAGGGAGTGTAGATAATGCAATTTAACTCTGCAGGGAAGAAATACCCTTAGGGAGCCAATTACCATGGTGATGAGCACTATATAAATAAACAGACTGCTTAGAAGCTATTCCTGCCATTGTAGTTTCCTCTACTTACTTTGGGAGACTGAAATATTATAGGACTCTTTTTGTCGGGAGGTTTCTCTTGATGTTTAGCCTAAATTGTCCTTTCCTTATTTTAATCTTGTTACTCTGATTGCTTCTTGTACCATTTTAAAGAATTCCTCTGTGGCCTGAATATTGTTGCCCTTCAAATACCTGATTTGGCATTAAACTGATTTATTGTTCAATGTATTCATGCATAAATCACTGTCTCAACAGAAACATCTCTTTGTAAGATGTACGCATAGTGGGAAGTGCTTGCCATGTAATAATGACTGCACAGAACTCTTAATAGTGCTTGGGGATTCTAGCAAAGGTTATTTGTCACACAGAGTGGATAATACTTTTGCATATTTTTTTGCGACAACTCACAAACCGCAGCCATCTGCCCTGAGCTCTGGGGAAATCTGCTTAAGAGATTTTAAAATGTAGTAAATCTTGCAAATGTTGATAAAGAACAAAAACTCTTACACCCAAGTTACAGTTTACATTTCTTATTTGGGATCTGTTATCTTGGCCTACCACTGCTGTCATAAATATAAAGGGAAGGGTAAACCCCTTTGAAATCCTTCCTGGCCAGGGGAAAGCTCCTCTCACCTGTAAAGGGTTAAGAAGCTAAAGGTAACCTCGCTGGCACCTGACCAAAATGACCAATGAGGAGACAAGATACTTTCAAAAGCTGGGAGGAGGGAGAGAAACAAAGGGTCTGTGTGTCTGTCTACATGCTGGTCTTTGTCGGGGATAGACCAGGAATGGAGTCTTAGAACTTTTAGTAAGTAATCTAGCTAGGTATGTGTTAGATTATGATTTCTTTAAATGGCTGAGAAAAGAATTGTGCTGAATAGAATAACTATTTCTGTCTGTGTATCTTTTTTGTAACTTAAGGTTTTGCCTAGAGGGGTTCTCTATGTTTTTGAATCTTAAGGTTTTGCCTAGAGGGGTTCTCTATGTTTTTGAATCTAATTACCCTGTAAGATCTCTACCATCCTGATTTTACAGGGGGGATTTCTTTATTTCTATTTACTTCTATTTTTATTAAAAGTCGTCTTGTAAGAAACTGAATGCTTTTTCATTGTTCTCAGATCCAAGGGTTTGGGTCTGTGGTCACCTATGCAAATTGGTGAGGCTTTTTATCCAACATTTCCCAGGAAAGGGGGGGGGTGTGCAAGTGTTGGGAGGATTGTTCATTGTCCTTAAGATCCAAGGGTCTGGGTCTGTAGTCACCTAGGCAAATTGGTGAGGCTTTTTACCAAACCTTGTCCAGGAAGTGGGGTGCAAGGTTTTGGGAAGTATTTTGGGGGGAAAGACACGTCCAAACAGCTCTTCCCCAGTAACCAGTATTAGTTTGGTGGTGGTAGCGGCCAGTCCAAGGACAACGGGTGGAATATTTTGTACCTTGGGGAAGTTTTGACCTAAGCTGGTAAAGATAAGCTTAGGAGGTTTTTCATGCAGGTCCCCACATCTGTACCCTAGAGTTCAGAGTGGGGGAGGAACCTTGACAACTGCTTTACTGCTGTTTGATGCTGAAACCATTGAAATCAGTGGTGAATTGGGCCTCATGTCTCAGTGTTAATATACTGCTCAGTGTTCTGCAAATAGTGGTGCCCTGGCACATTGCTCAAGAGAACAGTTAAAGTGGTTATTAACAAAGCCTTTAAGGAATATCTCCATTAGTTTAAGCAATAGGTGTTCAGTTACAGCTACACCTTAGAGTTGCCTGCAGGTATGTTGTATCTAGCAAGGGGACTACAACAATTGGTATCTATTTACACTACTTGAAGAGCCCTCATCCTTGTAGTACTTCTGTTGGACCATATGAACTGGACCCATAAACTCACTGAACCTTAAATCTCACCAAATGAGGGTCAATCCATCCTCATCATCATATCCACTCATTATACTCCACACCTGAACATAGCCATTATATGAACAACATACCATCATATCTCGATGTCTGTACTTTGACCCATTAACCTTCTACCCCCAATCAGGGATTTTGCAGATTATGTATTCCTTACGCCACCCGATCTTAAACCGAATTTTGCACCCCTTGATAATCTCTATGTTGTTCCCTGATAACCAGAAACTTCTATGCTTAAACTCTGTACCATTGATTTTTTTTTTAAATCGTCTTAATAAAATTTTTAAATCTGAGTACCTACTACAGATTGACAGTGCTCCCTGTTGCTTCCTTCCCTGCCACAAAGAAACAGGCTTCGTTGCCCCCATTTGCTGCAGTTCTTCAAAAGCTTGATGTTGCTGCATGGGAATCCTATCTCTGCGCAGCACTCATCATCCTGGCTCACAAACTCATGCTGCAACTCGACAACACAACCAGCAACAACCCAGCCATTGCCTAATACGTAGGATTGAGCTCTAAATCTGTATAAAGAATGCAGCTCCCTGCTCTGTTTTGAGGCATCAGTTATGTCATCAGCTCTTGTGGGGGGGGGAGCACAGAACTCTAAACGAAGAGTTCTTAGCAGGGGAAAATCTTCTCAATCTTCTACTAATCTAATATTGCATATTTGGGCCTTTGCATTTTAAAATGTTAATCTTTGCAGCACCATGTACCTGTTACTTTTCTGCACTTTCTCTGTTAAACATCTGCTTCCTAATTTAACCAG